TGGCTGAGAGACATGGCTTTTATCAGGTACTGAAGCACCTGCTACTGAAGAGGGTTAGCTCTTCAGGAGAGAAAGGAGCAGCTTTTAAAACCCAGCTAGAATTTTACAGCAACGAGCAAAAGCTGCACTGCTTTAACTATACTGATACACCATAACAGTACAGCACCTGTATACTGTAGTTAGAAAACTCAAAGAAATAGTTGCAGCAGTTTAAGACTTACTGCCCAAGTATTTGCTCTCTCCCCAGAGTTTATTGCTCCTGCAGCTGGAGCATCTGAATGGATTGTGTCAGTGCATCTCATCTGCTATGGGGCAGCTGGCTTGCACAGTATTTGAGCCAAGCAGCTCTAAAGCAGATGGGTTCTCTTTACACAGTCCTCTTTGTAACAGAGCACGAAGGGCTAGAGCACCTTAAAATACCACGATCATCTTCTGTAATAAGTTCTCCAATGAAGAGGCAGTTTAGAACACTACAACCTGCTGCTGCTCAACAGTGCTCCTCTACAAGGGCCTGCCTTGTCAGCAGCCAGGTGGGGGGAACTGAAAGTTGCTCAATTCCCTTCAGGCAAAACGTTAGTTGAACTAGATCAATTCCCTTGCTGAAATAACCAGATTTCGTCTGGAGAAAATCAGAGCTTACTCAAAGCACTGGGGTGCTTTGGGGGAAGAGGAAAGCAGTAATATTTGCAAACAGATAAGTGACCGAAAAGTGAGCATCCATCCATAGCCTGGTGCAGAGACAGCAATCCTGGCTTCTGTGCAGGTGTACTTGTAACTATCCTGCTCTAGACCCAGCTGGCTTGCCAGAAGACCACCAGTCCCACCACCAGTCCCAGCTGCCCAGCATCACTTCTCACCAAAAGCCAGCATCTCCCTGACCTAACAGCAGTCAACCTGAGTAATCACGAGTCTGCTTCAAGCCAGGACAGATGGATTGTCTTAAGTAATTAAAGCCACAGGATTTCACTAATGATCTTGCAGCAGCAGGAAGCAACAACCTGTTGTATTACCACAGCTGGACCTCAAACAGAGGTTCTCTGTCTTCCAGTCCTTGCCAAAACATCCACATGGACCAGGTCTTTCTGTATTAAACACATGTTTAATTTACAATCCCAATTTAGATCATAAAGTTTCCTTTAATGCAAGTGAGAGACTATTCTAAATACACTACTAAAGTAACTGTGGCATCAATTTTTCCAACAACTTTTCCTTCCCTCCTGCAATAGCTTTCAGTTCACCTCTAGATTACTGTGAACAATTTTTACCATTCTTTTTCAGAACTGATTCAGAGCAAATAACCACCATTGATGACATTAGTAAACTTCCAAAGCTTTTATAGCTGTTCTGAGGAGCTAAACTATCTGGCAGGAGTTTCCAGAGGCCTTGTCCAATTATCACACTGTACATACATTGCAAAAGAAACATACATCTTCCGGCTAGGGAACAACCGGATGATTGGAGGGACACACATCCACATTCCTCTCAACTGCAGGAAGCCCAGGCTGAACATTACTGGGTTGATAGTGGAATTTGTTTGTAACAGTATTATCTTCTCACTCCCTCATCTCTTTCACAATTATTACTGAAGTGGGAAGCACTATCATCATCCAGTTTCCCTGCCTGAAGAAATTGATGAGCCAGTCAAAATGCATTTCTAGAATACAGCAAGAGAAATTATCTCCAGCTAACTAAGGGACATCTAGCAAAATGCTATGTTCTCCATCATGACAGCACTGCTGTTGTATGCTATCAAAAACAGGTGATGGCAATCTTTGTATGTAAAGGGAAAAAAAAAAAGATACAAGTTTGATATCCTTTAGATCCAAGATAGAAACAACAATGTTCAAAGCTAATATAAGTTTACAGTAATTTCTCTGAGCTTAAAAATTGTCCTCAACTTGCATTTAGCTTAGAAAAGTTTGTTGCTTCCATTTCAAAAGTTGTGTGTCTAAAAGCCGCTCCCACTCAACAAAAAACCCACACTTACAGTGATTAGTGGGAATAAGTCATCTTGCCTCTAACTACACCTGATCTTGCTTGTGGGCTGCACTCTTCCCTTAATCTCTTGCTCTTTTCTAAGGAAGCAGTCAGGAAGAGAAACCAAAGTTCCACCAAATGTGTTTACAACAACTAGTGAAAGTCTGAATTAAACGGTCATCTTGATATGATGCAAGCACCACAACTATTTAAAAAAGATTAGGGTTTTTTTTCTCTCTACACTAAAGGTATATAATTTTTTAGAAGTACAAGTGTCTTGCAGCACAGCCTGAAGAAAACTTTTGCTGCAATCCTCTACTGAAAAACTATGCAACTTCCTACAGTAATGCTTTGCGGGAAGTTCTAATTACTGCATTTGCAGCAACAGGCAAGGGACTAGTTTTATTCTTTGCTACAATGAGAACTTTCAAGGTGACTTCAGGTCGACACTTCTGACTTACTCAGAATCTTTTACTACAAAACATAAAAAAAAAAAAATCATAGTACAAGTTTTCTTCCATTTCATGTAACTTTGAAAGTAACAAACTAAACACAAGAATTCCCACTTACTGTGAAGTGGCTTTTCCTGACTTGACTTGCATCACTTCAAACTACACTTACCAAAGAATATCCTTATTGCACACTAAGATGGCCGAGACAGTAAACAACAGAGCTTACTGCACTCCCAGAAGTCTCCAAACTGAGCCCTAGCATTCTAAACCTTATCTATGCAAGTTAATTAGGCATTTATTTTGTGCAAAGCTGCTTTGGTTCAACTTTCAATGTTTTGTTTCTACATGTTGCTAGGAACACTGCCTTTACGGTAACAGACATTTCCCCCTTCCTGTAAGGGATGATTTAATTCCAGATCAGGATATATATATATGCTACTGCACTGCTCTAATCTTGATTTTAGAAAAATTCTCATACTCATTAGCTCACTACACTTAGGCTTGCTCTTTTAAGCAAATTGCTTTAAAAAAAACACCACCACAACAAACAGGCAGAAGTTGCAAAACATTTCCCTCTAGCATTATCATAGGGCAGTTTGTGAACTTCCTTTTGCTTCACAGTTGCATAGAGATGGTCTGAAGTTGTATTTTACTGCAATCGTTTACATAAGGAAAACCTTGAAAGCTTTTTTTGCTTCTTCTTAAATCCTAGAAGCTACAGAAGTCAGCAGTCCAGCTCTCCTCATCTCATATAGTGAACCTCTGCTCAAGATCTTACCAGTATATGAACTCTGACAATTCAGAAAAAGTTTGCGTGCACTATTTTCATCCTCTCTGCATAGCACTGGAAATGTAAACTATAGCTATAAATTCTTCTAATAACTTTCATTTGGATTTAGAGGAAGAACTGTTGAAGCATCAATTTTATGCTGAGCAAAAATGGAGGCATATACTTGAAAGTGTCAGATTTATCTAAAGAAAATTCTACTCTCTTTTCCTGAAGGTAACATTGATCCATGCATTTGGAAAAACAAAAGGAAAAACCAACAAACAAAAAAACTAGCAATGCTGTGAGGCATTTGTAGTTATGAGGTTGCCCAAAAAAAAAGAAGATATGGTCTGAAAGCTGAAGGAGTACACATCTGAGCAGGCATCAGTCTCCAGGCTACCTGAACTTCTTATTTCATTCAGTCTGATGTGTTTGAAATTAAGGATAGAGTTTCATAACAATTTACAAGTCAGCTCTAGCCACTCTCTCCTCCATCACACCAGTGTGAAGCTTGTCTGACCCCTCAGAAAAATACCTCTCTGGTAAATAAAGTAAACACTTCTTCAGCTAGGATGGTTTTCTGCCGATCTACTGGTCTGAAGTAGCTCACCAAAGGTTCAGGTCAGCAGAACTGCAATACCAAAGAATCACTCAGGCTGTTGTAAGGCTGCACCTACAGCAACCATTTACATTATTCTTTGCTGTGATTTTAATTTTGGCCTTTTTTGCAACATGAACCAGTAACTGCTCCACATAATTCACCATCTTCTCTGGGGTCAGAGAGACAGCAATGCAGTATTTAGCACTAAGTGTATGGTTTTGTTTTTTTTAATTTACCATTATGTCTGCAGATTAAGCTCTTCAAAACGCAACCAGCAAGGAAAAGCAGTAGCAATCCCATATCCTGAGGGGTAAACATACAGTATCACCTTCTTTCCTCAATAGCTTCTGGCTCTCCATAGCATTTACCTTAACCAATATGACTACTTGAACTTTTCAGCCATTAATGCTAGAGTTTGCATAATTTTTGTTGTTCACAATAGTGCATTGCTCTACATGGCTCCCATATGGTAGGATAATTTCTCTGTAACCTAGAGAGTTCGTAAGTCTGCCAGGGTAGACTGCAATTCCTTGAGGCACCAGTCTCGCTTTCCTCCACTTGTACAGCAGCCCTGGCTGCAGAGAAGGTTCCAAGAAAGCACTAACAATAAACATTCAAGATCACTTGCTAAATGGATACCAATACTGAAACTTTAATATTACACAGCAATTCCTAGCTATTTGATAGGAGCATTGATAGGATGCATTCTAGCATCATCAACACATCCACTAAGTGCCTCGAGAAGCAAATTTTCCTTTGGCCACTGTATAAGAGACCTCTGATTTGCAAGGAACTGATTATGCCCAGTGATCACAAGAGAGGCACAGACTGTCCAAGGACAGATCTGCAGAAGAGGCTGCGTGTCACACAGACATCATTCCCTGCTACCAACTCTTCCTTGGAACGAACCTCTCAATCTTGCCACTTCCTTCCCACTCCACCACCCCCTCATCTTTATCGTCCAGTTCCACTAACCCAACTTCAGCTGCCAAAACTTCCTCTGCAACACTGACACCAGTGTATGTGTAGCGCAAGCTATGCAGCTGAGCAGAGTTTATTAACAGACTGCTTTATGCCTTGATGTGGACATTGGGCCTTACCCTACGTACGTGGAAGCTGTTAGAGAAAAGAGCACATGATATATAAGGAAAACAACCACCTGCTGAGAAAAAAAAGCCTTAATAGACAGCAGCCAACTTACTTGCTAGAAGAAGACAGGCAAACGAAACGCTGTGCAGTTGCTTGATGGGGATATCATAGCGATCCATAAAGAGGTCCAATAAATAGATTGCGAGATGCCGGGCTGTAGGGCAGAGGCTGAAACGGTTGCTGAGGACAGTCAGGAGATCAATGAAGTATCGGCGCATCCCAATCTGCGGTGAATGAGCCTTATACACAGGCAACTTAAGTTCCTAAGAGGGTGGGGAAAAAAGGGAGGAAAGAGGTATTGAAACAAACACCATTTCAGTGTCTGGAATCCCAAACCAACACCCACCACCTGCTATGGCAAAGGCATATCAGCTAGAGCACTATGACTGGCACAGAAATTAGGGCTGGATTACTGCACATTTTGACAGTCTGTTAATTTCCAATACTTCTGTCATCCACACACTTTCCTCACAAACATTAAGTACATGGTCAAACACTGCAAATTACAGTTTAATTCAGGAACAACTTGATGCTGCTTTCTACAGAACACCAACCTTCTTGGCCATAAAAATTGCTCCTGAAGGACTCCTTTTTAGTTTTGTTCACCCAAATTGGACTGTTGAGTAAGGTTTTAACAGACTTTCATAGGCAAAAAGGGCAAGACATTTCTCTGATATTGCCCCTTCCTCAATTGCCCAAGTTACTACATCTTGTGCCAAAAAAAACTTTAGAATAAAGAATATCCATCTAACATTAAAAAAATTTCACATGGTGCATGGCTGCAGCAAGAAACAAAAGTAGACATTAACAAGAAAAACAACACTGGACAATCATTAAACTTTTCTAATTATAGTAAATTCCAGTATTTTCTGTAGTAACTTATTTCAGCATTATAAAAGCAAACTATTGAACTGGCAAACTGTATTTCACATGTAATACACAAATTTTCATTTTAAAGGCAGAATTATGTATGGTTTTGGTCTACCTATGCTAGATCTTCACCTGCAAGGTTTTACACACAAGTTTGTTCGTAGCCACTATGCAAAGAGTTGGCTAAGGGAAGGAGTGAAAATCTTTGGGAATACCCACAACAACCTAATGCCACTTGAATTTTGACACTTTCTCACTTTAGACATGGTCATATACTAATGCAGTTACCATGGCGAGACTTGAATTAAAACAGGCTGAATACATGTTGATAGGCAAGGATTAGAAAAATACCATTTCAGCATGGTATATATAGATAGATATATAGACAGACATGTTTTGTAATGGAATTCAAAGCAGTACATAGTAGTTAATTCTCCTAAATAAATCAGGGCTTTTTTTTAAAAAAAAAAACAAAACCAAAACTGTTCAGCAGAAGCATCCACACTGGCTGCCCTGTTTACAGGAGTACAAGGCACCACCTTGCATGGCTGGCGCGGTGGCTGCCCACGCTCCTTTCATCCCCAGGCAAGAGACATTCCATGCAGAGGTTCAACTTATCAGGAAAAAATAGCTACACAATCGGGCTCAGAGGGGTGCGCAGAACTGGAAACCAGGCAGGCTCCAGAACGAGAAGCAGCTTACAAAGACAGCAAGCTGAGCGCTGTTACGGATGATTGCTTCCCAGGCCTTTTTAAAGAAAGTCAGTGAAAAAAAAAACACATTCCGGACAGAGCAGACACACGCTGTGGACAGGCAAACAGCCCTTTGAAACCTGGGACAGCCTTCACTGGGGGATTATAAAGAAATCGCCCACCAGTAACAATTTATAAAGCAGGGAGACAATGGAACATGTTCCCCCCCATTGTTTTATACCCAGAAAACCCCCATAAATTTGATTTTTCCATTGCCTTATGTACAGAGATTTCAATTCATCAGTACAACTGACACACACAGGTTCAGAGGAGGAATTCACACTATACCCATAACATGAATGTTCTGGCAGAAATGGTTTCAAGCTCAGTGCTTACATCAGTTAAAATAACTGCTTTTTTTTTTTTAATATGTCTATAAAATATATATCATAAGATATCATAAGATCAGGTGGTAATTCTACACGTGAAATATTATGTTCTTCTAGGTGACTGGTAGGAGATTCAAGTTGGGTTTTTTTTTTGCAGTGTCCTTCCTGTTTCAACAGCTAAGTCTCCTAGCAAAATTATACTCCATGTACTCTGAGGTCAGCATATGTATTTAAGGTGAAATTTGCTTTTTTGACCATAACAACAAACACAAGAAATAAACAGTAACTCCAGTTATACATCTAGTCAAAAAATGTGACATGCCTGAATGTTACAGTTCAGTGGGGGAACACAGGGGCTCAGAATGACACAGAGATCCAGAGACGTGCACCTGAGCCTCAGGTGCTTGGAGGCCAGAACTACCCCTACAGTCAGCCCACTGCTAGAAAATTCAAAGACCAGAGCAATGACTGTAGGGGTAGTCAGTCAAATGCATTGAATTTAAGCCAATAAAACTATTCTGCTACTGGTTTAATACAGACATTTACTCCCCTATAAAGCATCTGCTTTTTTAAAACACATTTTTTTAGTTGTTGAAAATCGGTTACTAGTAAAGGGCGTAAGTGAAAGGCATTCTCATTTCATGTACCAAAAAAACCCCACGTAGGCTTCCATATAAAGAGACTTAACAGCACAGCAAGGCTCAACTTCAGGATTAATGTTAGGAGGAGCAGAGCCACGTGCTCTGTTTCAAGTTCCTAGGTATTAATTGATCCAGGGCAATTATCTGTGTACAGGGAAGACCCTTGCCCTGCATCACATAACATGAAGCAGCTAATAAGTAGTTCAATAGGACTGCGTGTACACTGACAGATAGTCTTAAATGATGAGATTTTCTTTTAAAGGAAAGGGAGTGGCACCCAGTTTAAAAATGCAAGAGCTGAATGGCAGGCTTACAGTCACCAGCATGGTCGGCAGTATGCACCCCTGCCCCTCAACCCCCACACAGGGTTCTTTAGCATAAGTGCATCAAGAAAAAAAAAATTACTCCTTTGAATTAAAAAAATGTCTTTGCTACTTTAGGGAAGCTGATTCAGGATCAGCAAACACAACTCTAGGGAAAAACTGAACTTTTGGAGAGCAAGAATAAAAGAAATAGTTTTCATTGATTAATCTTTTCCTCTATCTCCAGTAAAGTGAAGAAATTGGAAGTCCTGCTGTCTGCTGGAATTGCCCTTTCATATGCTGCTTCTACTTATCTTTGACCTGTTCATTTGTATCTACTTCAACAACTTTGCTTTGGGCTACTGAGCAGTTGCCACATTGAAATGCTAAAAGCGGCAGCACAGAAGAGGCTCGCAGGTGTCTTGGAAATTACTTGACAAGCTTTGCTCAACATATTGATCAGTGTCTCTCCACAAAGAGCCTTCAGAAAGGCAGAGCACAGCATTTAAAGGCATCACCACTTAATCCCAAAGCCTGTAAAAGTAAGGCTTGGACTGAGTCAGTCTTAAGGTTGAAGACAATTTTTAAGCTGCCACCTCCCACCAGGTTCGAGACCCGACTTTCTAAAAGAAGGGAATCAGCGTAAACATTTTTAAGTGATGTTAAATTGAAGACAAATCTTCCGGAGCAATCGCATCTGAAAGACAGCCAGGAGCCATTCATTCACTGCAGACACAGCTCATCACCAGCAACCTGACCACTTCAGCTGGCACCATTCATTACCTGAGCTCAGCAGACAAGATTTTGTCTGGTGTAGATGGTTTTGTAACCGGGCTGTGCAAATGCACTTCAGAACCCATCCCTAAAAGGGATGCTAGGCAAACAAGACTTCAACTAAAGCTTTTGAGCAACCACAGGAAGGTCAAGCTTTCACTGCCTGTTTGAACCAACTGAAGTGGAGAGGAAGAAAACTTAACAGGATCACTTCCTCCAGCTCCTTGAAGCAGCAGCTGGTACAGGCCAGTCTGCCCAGCATTTATCTTCATCAGAGTACCACATCAGGTAGTTCGGTGTTCAACATGGCAAGAAATTTCACGCATACATTTTTTTTTTTCCAGTCCAATTTCTTCTCAGTAAAACTGTTTTCCCACTGATTTAGAGCCAGTAATGAACTGACAATCAATCAGGAGAAAAAAGTTAGCTGTAGAAAAGTTAGCAAGTGATCTGACATTATGGTAGTAAGTCACACTAATAATGGTCGGTTCTCAGAACAAAAGTGGAATTCATCAAGGTATTTCAGAACAACCCACAGGCTTTTTGACAAGGAAAATAAAACTCTGTAATTAGTATGCCTCGGGTTTGAAATTCAGGGAGACGTTAACTGAATCTGGTTTTCTACTACGTCAGAGCGCTTGGACTTCAGTCGGGATCTGTTCTGTCCCACAGGTCAAACATGCAACATCTCCTGACTTCCCACGACAGCTCCTGTGCTTCTAGCTGCCCTCCTCCCGCTCTCAGTGCCAGCCGTCTCAGCTCCAGGACATCCAGCTGCTGCACACAGGCATCTCCTGGCAGCTGCATCCTCTGTGGAGGGCCAGGTAAGTTACCTTCTCATTTCTGGAGCAAAATGAAGCACCTAAACCAGAGCTCCTCAGTAACAGCAAAGCCCATTCATCTAGAAACAGCCATGACAACTCTCTCCTACACAGATACAAGTTCCATTTATGAACTTCATACTACTCATTGTTATTCTTTTTTGATCTTATTGTATACTTTTGTTTCTGGAGCTATAAACAGAATCAAGAATACAGGCCCTGCTACCACAGCTCACTGATCTTAACCACCAATCCTAACCCAAAATCTGAAAAAAATCTTCCAAATGAGGAAAAAAATACCCAGTGGAGGTATATAACTAAAGTTTCAACAAGATCTCCATAATTCTTCTTAATCCAGGAGAAAAGTATATAAACCCAAGACACCACTTTTGTGATGTTGATATAAGACATTCCAAAAAAAAAAAAAGGAAAAATTTTTAAAAAGGAGAGAAAAAAAAAGGAAAAATACTCCTAAGTATTTAAGTCAGAAAACTAGTAAAAAACATAATTTTGGCAATCATTTAGCTCTCTGTATATTGCATGTTCTGGAAAAATAGCATGTACCTGACCTGCACCAGATTCTCAAGAGTTCCTGTTGCAAGAATAACAGATACTGTAAAGCTGTTGGCGTTAGAACAGGAAAAAGAAACGCCTCTAGATGAAAAATAAAGGGAAAGCTTATCTATAGCAGGCTATTAACAGTTGTTCTTTGAAAGAGACAAACTTCTTCCTGTTTGTGTTCTAACGAAACTCTTCCAGCTGTGGAAGAAAGGTGCCAAATTGATCTCTAAAATAAAATTACTGCACCACACATGAGAAACTACTACAAGCCAACTCCTCTGTAACGCAATATTTATGCAGGCAAGAAGACAATATGTAAAGAAAAATTTAGACTACACTACTTCCTTATAGGAGCTTGAAAATTAAGAGCACTCTGCATGCTGCTTTGCAGTAGGCTAGGCAGCATGCTACCAATTTAATTCTGCTGCTAATGTCATGCTATTCTCTCTCCCTCACAGAAACAATCCTTCTGCCTCTGGACAGACTGCAGCATTATGTCTTCCAGTAACAAAAATCACTCATATGAAACTTGCTGGTAAGTGTTTCTAATGCTTAGGCAGCAGACTGCAGTTTAATTAACAGGTCAGAAAGGTTAAGTGTGTTTGTGAACTGATACTAGAGTACAGATGTATTTGGCTTTTACTAATCTTCGAATTGGCCACACAAACTCAGAGGGAAGGGGAAAGATAACTGACAGGACAGCACTCTTCGGGCATGGCCAGCAGGACGTGTTTCCTCGCAGAGCAGAAGCACATGGTGAAAGTCTCCAAAACAGCCACATTGGCTTCCTCTATGCAAGTACAAGCCATGCTGCCTGGTAACCCAGAGAGCAACGATTATAACTGTCAGAACACACAGCGGTAAGGGACAGTCTAGGATTCTCTGCATGATCTATTACTCCTCTTTCAGGCCTGCTGTAACCATATCTCTGAGTCCTGAAAGTTACAGTGTTCCCCATTATTCAAGCAACCTCCAGTTCTTTTAGACAAGTCTTAATCGGGCCCTTGGAGAAGTGCCAGTCTTGCACAGCATCTGGAATCAGTAAGTTAGAGACAAACCTGACAAAATCATGCTTCTTAAAAGATGTCAGATAGTTCCTCTCATTATTTCCAGTGAAAATTTAAGATCAAGATACTTTCTAATAGGGAAGGGTACATGGGCAATATATTCTTTATTTTTCCCCTCATTCAACGGTAACCAATCAAGAAGACAGAGCAACAGCTCAAATGCGCTTGTTACACTGCCTAGATCAGTGCTGCAGCAGCTGCCCTTACTGATTTATGACACATTCTACTGATGCGTGAACAAAACACCATAAATTAAGATTTTCTTCTGTGTTACCACTGTTCTTGCACACTCAAAAGGAGCAGCAAATTCACATGCTCGGTGACTTTGGCTTACACTGGGTTGTTTCACTCCTTCAAAGAACAGTAGCACCTTCAACAGTTTTCCCCCTTTACCTAGATAAAAGGCCATCTCTGACTACATTCTGAGTGATTCATGCATTTCCCCTACTATCTACCTCTGGCTTTCAAAACATCTAGATACGCAAAGACTGCATCCCTTGAGATCTGAGCTTAGCATCAACACTTAAATTAAGCTGCAGGCATACTATTGAGATGTCACACAAAAAACCTGCAGCAGATCAAGATAGTATTTCAATTTTATGTAAAAGCTTTTTGTGCTTGAAGCCACTCGGCCCTTCAGCATCCTCACAACAGTCTCAGGCATCCAAAATTTGCGGGAAAGTTGAACTAGTATTGTGCTTGAAAAATCCATTACTTCACACGTTCTACTGCGGTATTTTATCAAGCATTTCATTAAGTCCTTCTTACACACTTCAAAGTGCTCAGCAGCTAATCTGAGAAGGATCAGAGAGAGGAGAGTGAAAATCAAAATTCCAGCTTTAAGGAAAAAAGAAGAGAGATCATAACCATGTACGTTATTAGGACACCTGTTCTTTTCAGCTCCATGCACATGCTGCCATCTATAACATAAGCAAATTACAGCTAGCGACCAGTAATGCTATTGTTACTGATTTTCAAAAGCTCGAGGTTTTTGTGTGTGTTTTTTTTGCTGCTGGGCCTCCAGTCTTGGATGAAAAACTGGTATTAATACACCTACTTTATTTTATAGCTGAATTGAACTGGGAAGATGCATCAAAATGAAAGGCTAATGTTTTATCCTCTCTATTAAATGAAATAGAAAAGAGCCCAAAACCTTTTGCACGTCTGCAGATATCTGGGACCCCTGCAATTCTCATCTAGATTTTGTTTTAAAAACAAAAATAACAGAAGCACCACCTCCACAACGCCCTAATGCCTTCCCACCATTCAGGGTGTAACTGTCTAGTCTGCACCAATCTGAATTTCAGGCTGTGCCAGGCAGATCTGAACATATTGAACTTACCATGCAATTAATTAAGCATTGAAGGGATGACCAGTTTTTAAAAACAACAAGAACATGAGCAGACTTACAGGCTAAAAGATAAAACAGTACCTGTTATGTCAAGACCTTCACAGTACCAACAGGTCAAGTAAACCAGATGTTTTGGCAGAACTACAGAAAACACAGGGACATATGCTGGGTGCAAGGAGAAGATGAAGAGGTTGCGTTTTTACCGAACAAAATTAACAACAGGATCCTGCACTACTTCTAACAGGATTATTTAAAACTGAAAGAAAATGCATTTATGGTGACAGTACTCAAAAACCAGTGTCGAAATGGGCCCTTCACAACAAACCCTGCCTGGATTACACTCCTGCTTCAGAGACTGCAGTCCAAGCTGACACCATGGACAAGGCTGATGGAAATGCTACATGTAAAAATAGATGAAACATCACAGCAGTAAACAGCATTTCCTTGTTAAGATCTTTAAACTCCAAGAGGAGGTGGGAGACAGGTGTGGAGGAGCTTTCACCTAGAGGAAATCACTCAGACATTTTTATTACTTAACAGCAAAGGTCTGTTTGCTTTCAGCAGAAAGAGGATCAGCTCTCCTCACCTGGCTGAATGTAACTGCAGACAGTAATCTGGAGTGCCTTTTTAAAAAGATCACATTACAATTATTAACCTTTTAAATTCACAAACAACAAGTCCTGTAGAATTTGGCCCCGCTCTGAGAAGCTATGCAAGAGATAAATAAAAAGGGAAATGCAGGCAGATCTAGTAATTCTCATTAATGGCAGGAAATGGACATATCCTGGAAGGAAACAGCCCAACATAAGCACAAAAACGGGGGAGGAACAGCAAACAGACATCACTTATTTCTGGGACGCCCAGACTGCCTTCTAAAGCAAAGTATTTCCTCTATTTTAAAAAACGACAGAAAATTCCAACACTGACTTGTTACTCGGCTTTCCACATTTGTGGAGTATTCACAGCTACTGAAGAGTTCTGCACAGATGTTGCAGTAGTTCCACATCCATTAAGAGAGGTCTCCGATTTTTGACATGAAAGTCAGCTGCCTGGCACAACCAGTACCTTTCCATTATCACTAACATAGAGCCATTGTAGAAGCAGTTGAAACACCAGAAAATATCAGCACGTACACACAGCACCCTTCTTGGCTTGGTGCGTGTTAGACTCTCCTAGTACAAACATATGCAGTAGGCTCCAGTTTTTATTTTCCTTCCTGGATCAGACTTGCATCAGGTTTACTGTTCTGGCCTAATCCAGGGCAATACGTTAACCTCTCATTTAAAGTCTAAGGATGCGTGTAGCATTTTTGGAATTTAAGTGTTTTGCTCCACTAGGTCAGCAAACTCAATAACTAACACAATACAGTCCTGCTAAGCTGAACACTACATCCCAATAATCACAGCACAGATATTTTACTAGTCAGACAATTCAGGGGCTATTAATTTCCTCCTCATTGAGCGAGAGCCTTTGGGAAGCCCCAAAGCCTCTCAGCATCTTTCAACCCTCTCTGAATTAGAAGCCAGGTATATCACACGCTTTCAGTATCTGCTCTCATGCAGAACGTATCCATCGGATACAACAGCACACAGCATCTGTCAGAAAGGACATAAACTTTCAATGAGATTAAGAACTCCCAAATCCAACTGGGGGGATGGGATAACATTTTTTGCAATTGTTAACATAAAACCCAAGTTGTTTGATAGTAGGCATATATCTCCTATATTTGTGTGTCTAAATTACTTTGGAAAAAGAAAGTGTTTCTCATGATCTTTCAGGAAAAGAGTTATGTTATTTAAAACGGACATTTTATTCCTCACCTTAAACCCAGACTTTAAGTACGTTCTTCAAAACACTGGGATAGCCTGCCACCTTGACAAGCCTCTCCAAGTAACTTTCCTGTCAGATTCACATGCTAAAATTAAGACGTTTATTCTTATCCAAGACCAGAGACACACAGTGTTCCAGACTAAGACTCCTCAGCAAGTATCTTAAACCAGAGAGATC